GACTCCTTTTGGTAACTTCAGGAAGTTTGCTGCAAGCAAATAATCAAAAATGTCATCTGCATTTGTTAAATCGAAAGAGTATTTCCTATAAAGGTCTTTCTTTTTAAACTGCTGGTCTATTGTTGTGTCTTTATGAATTAATGCTTCACAGATCACAGGTTCTTTCCCTATAATCTCTGCTGCATCAATCTCATAATTAGGGTCTCTATAATACATCTTGTATGATGCATTACTTCGATCTTGTTCTTCTTCTAGTAATGCTTCATACCTAGACACCTTATAGGTCAGTTCCACTAAGTCTCTAAACTCAGTTGAATCAAACTTCTTTTGAAGCCTAAACTCTAAACTATTTTGAGCCAATCTCACGAACTCAGGCTTTGGTAGGATGATCCTACATTTGTTTCGTGCTCTTTTGAATCTGGCAATAAATTGAGCAGCCTTCTCATCAGGCTTTTGACTCAACCTTGCCAAGTTTGCCATGGAAACTTCTGGCTCCGTTTGGAAGAATTAGGCATGAAATGCCTCCTCCATTTGTTGCCAAGTTTGGATGGAGCCAAGTGTAAGGTTAATATATCATACAAAAGTTGCCCCAGTTCGAGAATTTGGGAATAGTCTTAACTTCATGTAATCATTATTGGTAAATTTACCACATTGAGCAGCGAACCTAGCAATATGCTCTACCGTTGATTGGTTTCCATTCTTATAAAAAAGAGCAAAGTCTGGTATCCTAAACCCTCTTGGATATTCATGTACCCCTAGTTTCCTATACACAGGAGTTTGAACCCCCTGATCCATCGGTCCACACATCTCTCTAATAATATCAGTAATTTGGTCCCTAGGAACCATATTTTGTGCTTGTTGAACCACTACTGGAGGAACAAACACAGGATTTGGTGGACAACCTTGTGTCTAAGATCCTCTTGGTCCATAGGGCGGTATATTTGGGACTGGTTGTCCCTGTGGTGTTGGCTGCTGTTGAGGGTATGGGTAACCCCTTTGAGCCTGTCCTACGAAAGAACCTGCGAAAGGTGCTGGAACAGGTGTTGTGTCTCTTCCAGTTGCAGAAAACCCTTCCAACCCCCCGGGTACAAATTCGAACAAATGATTAGTAAACCCCCTCGTGCCAGGTATGACTTCGAACATGGGATTTGGAAACATCCTTATGTCATTTTCTTGTGTTGGGTCAGATCCACCAATTTGCATGGCTTCACTATTAAATAATGATGCATTTTGATTTGTCACAGGCCTCGAAAGAGGCTCATACCAAGACTGAGGTGATGGTCTTTCATAGTTTTGATTACTAGTTTGACCATTAGAATGTCCATTATTTTGCATAGGCTGTTTATCTCTAGCCAATCTTTGCTAAGGGACATTTAAAATTCCTCCATTTGCCTTGCGTTAGTTGGTTAATGAGTATTCATTCGATCCGTAAAGGATGTTGCCCATCTTTCCATTGTGTTCATTAACTGCTGTCCCACGGCATCTACTAGGCCTCCCCATGGATTCATTGGCTTAGTAGATGGAACAGTGGATGGTCCAATTCCTTGGCCTCGTCCAATACTTTGAACATGTGGTACTTGCTCCGAAGTGCTGGTCTGTTCGACCATAGGTTTTGATAAAATAGGTACTTCCACAGGATGTGTTATCACATTATCCTCTGGATTAGGTATTTCTACTTCTCCTTCCACGCCTTCTTCCAAGCGTTCATTTTCTCCTTGTCTCCTACATCTCGCCATTTCAATTAGTCTCACTGGGCGCGCCAAAAATATATATTGGCTTTTTGGCTTTCGAAGGTTATTATTGTAATTTTGAGCGTGACAGCAAGGATCAATTAGTCCTTACAGAATATTAATTGCCAACCAATTATTAGACAATTGTGTTTTAGTTCTTTCAGCCTCAATAAAGAGGACTTTTACTGGTGGCTTTGTTTAGGAGAATTAAGCAAACAACAATTAAATGAAGAACAATTGTAACATTTCATTAAGTAAAATTGAAGACTTATAAAGATCCAAATCAGCCTCGTAAAGGTTTACAATAACAAACTACTTGAAACTACTCCTATGAACGAAGTGCAGTGCAGGAATTTGAAGTACAGAAATGTAAAGAACAAGAAATGTAAAAACTGGAAAGAAAATAAAGTAGATAAAACTGGTTTTTTGGATCTGAGTCTGGGACTTTTTCTGGGGCCTTCTCTGTTATTTATACTTCTCAATGACAACCGTCAAAATAAACTTCTAACTATCAAACCACCTCTCCATGATCGCTGATGTTTTTCCTTACAGTTAGCTCCACTATGCCATATCTGCAGTTAGGCTTCCCTCCTGATTTTGAATTTAAATATATGTATAACCGTTAAAGCCACGACATCTTACATCTCTTTGTTAATCCAGTGCTATACAAATCTATAATAACCAATACTATTTGCCATGTGTGTGATTATGATTGAAGATTTAAATTATCTTCCCGTATTACCCTCATCTTGCTACGTATTGAACTGTGATTAGTCTATACAAAATATGTAGCCAACAAAGTTCTTAAAAACTTACATAATTTTGTAGTAGAATGATCAACTAAGAACCGAATCAGATAGATTGAAAAGAAAAAAAAAAAGTTATATAGAGAAAGACTATGGTCTAAAAGTGTGTATCATATACACCTTATAACTAAAAAAAAAAAGAGGCTTAATTCCATATTTTTTGAATCATAACTAAAATATTTTTAAAAAAAATCATAACCAAACATCACATGAGGCATAATCAAAAATCTTATGAGTCATAATTAAAATATTTTCATAATTAAAAAATAAAATTGGTCATAACTAAAAAAGAGAGGTATATGATATACCCTTTTCAAGAGATATGTATAGTAAAATTTTTCAGAACACCTTAGACGAATTTGAAAAGATAAAACAGTTAAATGACAAAAAAATAAAATAAAATGCTAGAGATTTATAATTTAAGAATAATGTTAGGGACTCCAAATATCTTACTAAATATTCTATCAAATGTCTCACATAGATATATAATAAATTAAAAATTAACACATCATATCACATTATTATAACTAAAATTGAAAGATATATATATATATATATATTTAGGGTCTTAAATATTTTCCAAAAAGCGAAGCTTTTAGGGGAGAGCGAAATCTTTTAGATTCTTGAAAATCATCACCTTCACAGAGGATTATGGTCTGGTTTGATTCGTCACCTCTAGGTTGCAAATGAATTAAACGGTTTATAAATAAGTTTGATTCAATTCTTTAAGGCTCGACTCGATTTATTTAGTAAATGAGTCGAGAGTTCGCATACCGGCTCGTCAAGTTCAACTCGTTTATCTTTATTTAAATTATATAATGAATATATTATTTATATATTAAATAATATAAATAATATTTTTTATTTAAATAATATTAAATAAAAAAATTATCGAAGCCAAGCCGAGCCCAGCTCGAGTTCTATTAATGTTAATGAGCCAAGCTCAAGCTCAATTTCTATTGAGCCAAGGTCGAGCTCAATAAACGAGCTCGATAAGTAAACGAGCCGTGCTTGAGCTCAGCAAAGCTTGACTCGGCTCGTTTGCAGCCCTAGTCACTTCAGAGACCATATTTGAGAAAAAATTTCAAAACTTTATTTGGTTGAATTTTTGAAAAAAAAAAAATCTAAAATCACATTTCTCTCTATTATATATCAATCAATCACTTTTTTTTTTTTTTTTATCTTCTCTCTTATTCTCTCACATCTTACACATTAATTAATTATTTTTTCTCTCACACTCATCTATTCTACTATAAAAAAAAATTTTAAAAAATTTAAATAATCTCAAACTCCAAAACTATTTTTAAAACATACAACTAAACAAATTTTTAAATTTTATAAACTCTTTCCAAAAAATTATTTTTCAAAATTGTTTTTATAAGTACAAACCAAACATGGCCTGTGAAAGCAATATTCTGTTAAGAACACAAAACTGAAAACACACGAGTAGACAATATTTTACATAATTAGTAAATTGAACTTATCTAAACATTTAAAAAAAAAAAAAAAAAAAAACTCAATTAATACACATTAATGTGCATTTGAGAGATGAAAGATCGGACACTTAATCTTTAGCATAGTGCACAAAATGATCATCTTGAAACTTGAACTCATAACCTTAAAGTTATTAGGCCAAAATTTTACCATTAAACATTTATTTTGTATTCGGTTTTATAATTGATTTTTTGTGGTCCTCAACTTATTCTTACTCTCTTCTGGGAAGAGGCAGGACAACTTATAAATCAATCAAACAGAGAGAAATTAGGAAAACTTACAAATAAATTTGAAAATTGAATAAAAACTTAGTAATATTGCAAATCCATCCTTATTAACCCATAAATTATTTAAAAATTAATCTCTACTGCACCTTACATGAACCCTACATGAATTCTATACTATATAAATTAATCTCCACCACACAATCACTAGGTGGACAAGTCTGGATTGCCAGACTTTCCCAAAATTTAATTAGACAGTTAAGGAGTTTGACAGTTATGTAGTCAATGGGTCAGGAGCCTTTCATGGGCTTCATAGGCTACCGCGGGCTCCCAATCGATGATTCAAACCATTCAACTTTTAGAACCCTTCAAACATATCATGCAAAAATTTTGTTAAGTCGATCAGGCAAGTATAACCACATGATCAAATAAGCTTTGTCTTCAACAAATAGATTGTAAATATGATTTTAAAAATAAATCGTCTATTTTTTTAAAGTCAAATCTAATCTGATCACATGGTTACCTTTGTCTAATCCCTACAAATTGAACAGTTTGGATCATTGAGTGGAGGCTCATAATAGGGCCCACAAAGCCCAGAAGCACCCTTCAATTGGAATACCCAACTGGAGGGAATCCTGACCCGTAGTCGATACTATTACAAGCATTGCTATGACAACCCTCTAGTTCTTAGAAAAGAAATTTTTTATAAAGACAAACCCTATTTCCAAATGAAAACATCACTATCATAGGAGACACGGTATAAAACTTTCCTTAAAAACTGAAAAAGACACTAGATGAGTAACTCAATATTTGAAACTACAATCTTATATGATCATGAAGGAAAATTATCCAAAGCAAATTGCCTTAGTACTAGTCAAAAGTACTATAAACAATTAAAAGATACATATAGATTGAACAGAGAATTTGGAGAATGTGCATCCCAAATTACCACACCTCTCTACCAAACTCAGGTCTGTGGTGGACAAAAGGATCAGAGATATTTCCTTGCAAGGGCTCGAACTTTCGTATCAAAGCAAGATGATGTAATCCGAGATCCAGGTATATAAAGTGGATTAAGAAGAATCTGCAAATTCCAAATAGTTCGATCAATGAACATATCAGCAAAATCCATCTGAGACTAACAAAATACGCACGCACACAAACAAGAGAGAACAAAAGAAAAGAAGAAACTGAACAAAGCAGCTTATTTGTCTCAACAACCAGAAAGTAATCACGAGTGATGAAGGAAGAAAGGTAGATTAGCATTTGCAGGACCTGCAGGACTGCACTGTATGTAAAAATCAGAAAGCTGCTCATGAAGGGTTTCTAATAAACAAACACCAATGGGATCAAGTATATGAGTTTCCATGTCCATCACAAGGCTATTGGATTGTCAATCAAAATGACGAGGCATGTTGCTACATAACCAAATCAATTCGATCAGGCACTCGTCGTCGACTCAAAATAAGATGATCTCTGTTTTCTCCATGCAAGTAAGGAGATGGCGAGGATGTTCAAGCACATCTTTGGAGGGCTTGAAAAACCTTGTACAGGGCCAACAGAGTTTACAAGGAATGCTAGCAGAAATATTTAATACAAATGTGTTCATGAATATCTAGAGCAGTGTCACTAGAAAACGATAATACCTAGTGATTTAAGTTTTAATATGCATGTTTATAATTTGATACACAAGTTTTAATTAATGTTTCGTGTTTGTTACTTTCCTTCAGAGAAAAAAAAAATATCAAATATGGTTAATGACCTACAATCAAGAAAGAGTAAAGTTTTGATAGGACAAAATGCAAAAAATGGATCATAATGCTTCTACAATAGACCATATTTTATTGAATATCTAATTGTTAAAAGAAAATTGCACATATAACTTCTAATAATGCATCCTATACAATTCTACTCTGATTGTACCACATTTTATAGCACGTGGCTTGTTTCGTTCTTGTTTGGAACGATACGTGTTTCAAGTAACAGAGATTTGGAGAGTACCATTTTGGTGACAGAGAGAAAATATATGGTTTTGATTTGGAAAAGAAGAATCAATGATGGTACTGGAGTAGTAGAGCAAGTCTTCACAAGATATTAGCTTCGGATTTCAGAATGTTTAAAAGACAACTACAGAGGTAAGTAGGGAAGGGAAACATAAATGCTCAAGATTGCTTTGCAAATGAATCTATTTTTAAGCATTCTTGAGCATTTTCCATTCCTTTTCCCATTTCTTATCAAATCCGGAGAGCCTTAACTTATTAGAGAATGGCCAACGCAAATTCCTGCCAACTCTCCTAAGAAAATTTGGAATTTTAACCTCTATAATCACAATATTACGATTAACTATTTGATTCATGATTCATGCACAGATTGATACGTATCTTGGGTGACTTTATTTTGGTATAGCATTGATGGTGAATCATACTTCATGGTTAGATTCACGATTCAATTTACATTTTACAATTCATGCAATTCTTGAAAGTATTGGGTCTGATAGATTCTCCCTTCTTTTTACCTATCTTTTTGGTAAAAATGTCATAATACAACTTCTAAGAGTGTGTAATATGACAATAGCCAATATCTATGCATAATTTTCTGTTATTTTGGTGAATGTAGTGTTTAACAGGATACATTCAGATCTAGTCAAAACCAACATGTTATTAACTTTTTCTTCAAACAAAATGTCAAAATACATCTTCAATGGAAGTTTAAGGCTAAACTAACTTGCACTCTAATATGACACGAGTCAGGTCAATCAGACACAATAGTTCCACAACTGTTTCTTTAAATTTTTTTTTTTTTTTTTTTTTTTTTTTTTTCACACTAAATATACACACTTTTAAAGTGTTTTAGATTTTAAAATAAGGGGTTCTTACATACTTTTTTTCTTATTCTACTGTATCTAGGGTTTCTAGATTTATTTTTTGGATGCAAGAGATAATAAATTATAGTTTAAATAATTTTATGGTTGGTGGAATTTTGACTCACATCACTTCTCAACTAGATGGTGTAATCATGTCATTATATAAGAACCATTGCATAACAAGTGTCAAAATTATTTATGTATTTATTTTTTCATAATATGATTGTGCAATATTATTATTATTATTATTTATAATTTGTGCCGAATCTTACAATTCTTGATTTGATTCAATCCACAATTCTCAAAATTAGGATTTCAATTCACATTACAATTCTTATTTTGATAACTATGATTCCAACTACTTCGGATAAACTCCAAAAAGTTCTTATTCAACATTCAAAGGGGAGTGAGATCTTTTAATTCCAAGACACCATCTACTTTCATACTCTACATTGATACACTTAAATCTTCACCTTCCTTTAGTCCCAAGACACCATCTCCTTTCATGTTAAACCTACACCATCAATGTTGTTTGTTGTGCATAACCGAACCATCTGAGCTACTCTCCCTCATTTTGTTCTGGTTACCACACCATGTTTATCATGGAAAACATGCTAGTTTTGATATTTTCTTCTTTTAAAATTTGTCCACACAGCAATTTAGTAGGCGATATTCACACTTCTACATGTTCCATAATTAGCCACACCTTCTGTACCACAAAAGCATAGCTAGCTTTAGAGGTTGTGTGATGCCACAAATTTTCCCAATAACCGAATTTCCATAATTTCAAATATTTTTTGCTACGTGGATTCCCTTAACTAAAGGTCATAGAATGGTTGTTCATCTAACTAGATACATCATTTCAGCAGAACCCACTGTTTTGGTAGACAGATCTCATAATCCATAGAGAAAGAAAAATTAAAACATGAAACAGTATATACTAGACCAAATCAGCACACAACTTAGAATGAGTAAAAATGTATAACGATTTTTTTTGTATGAAAAAGACTGCTCTAAAAAATTTAAACATACAAACTTACCTTTACATACAGCTCATGGACCTCTTGAAAGAAGCTCTTGATTCCATCATCATTACGAGAGTCATGAAGTAGCATAAGTCGTGTATGTATGACATGATTTGTTAAAGAAAACAAATAAATAAAGCTTGCACATAACTTTAAAAATAAGTTCTATATTTATTAATCAAATTACTAAAAAGCAAAACCAAAGAGGCATTGCTTAATGCAATCATAAAAGCTCAGGCTACCTAACAGGAAAATATAGGCTTAGGGTTTGAGATCAGCTACTTTGCACAAATTATGCAAAGATAAGAAATGAAGACTTTGAAACCAGACACTTTGCGCAAATTATGAAAAGGGTGGACTCCCCCTAAAAACAAAATGACAATAATATGCTAACCACAACACCTTTCATTAACACGGACCAGTGACTGGGTAATTTCCTAAAAACAAAATGACAATAATATGCTAAACACAATGTTAAATTGAAAATAATTGATAGGAAAATGATAAGCAAACAAAAAATTACACATACAAAATGATGTGGTAGTGGCATCTTTCAAATTATAAACCCTGGTGGTCAAGGCATGGGGCATGGGGCATGGGGCATGGGGTGTGCTCCCTCCATGCCTTTAGGTTCGAAACCTTCTAAATGTAAACAATTTCTCGGGGCTAGTCCATACGGGGGCTTTGTCCCAACTTTAATTGGGCCCCTCACTAGTGAACGGTGAGATTGGTCCCCCAGATTAATCGGTCCATTTGGCCAAATACCGAGTTATCAAAAAAAAAAAAAAAGAACATATAAAAATTAAATATCATATAAAGATTGAAGTTTACAAAATAGGCTCAAGAATGTTATACTGACACAAACTGATTGTTGAAACAAGGAATCAATCAGAAAATATGTAGGATATGACCAGCAGTAACATATACTGACACCACCAAATCATTGAATCGGTCAACTGCTTTCAAGAACCTGGATATACAGGGAAATATGAAAGGCGGTAAGACAATGAAAGTAAGAATGATAACAGAAAAATCCACCACTGCAAAAGAAAATAGGGTAAACTACCAATAGGTCCTAATAGTTAGACTTAATTCCCTTTAAATCCTATTGTAAATTAGTCCTATTAAAATCGTTGCTAAAAGTAATTTTTTGTGACATTTTTTGCATATGTTGCTAAAAAATGACAATTCATAACTTTATTTTGTCACGATTTTTATAAATTGTCGCTAAAACTTGCAATTCGTGACATTTTTCTGTGACGAATTTTTCAAATTATCGCTCAAAGCTGAAAATTAGTGACTTTTTTGGTAACAATTTTTTTAAACTGCCGCTAAAACTTACAATTAGTGACTTTCTTGTGACAAAATTTTCAAACCATCACTGAAAATTAACAATTAGTAACGTTTTTTAATAGTGTTTAATGAAAATTACCATTAATTATCACAAGACTTATTGGACAATAAGTCCACCGATTAAGACCTATACGTAAGTTCTCCAAAAAATATATATATATATATATATATACATTTGAACACACTTTCTTTGCATTCATTCAAATTTAAACGAGAGAGAGAAACACACACACACACACACACACACAAAGATAATCAGTATGATGGAATCTCACATAGCACTTGTTGTCCATGCAAGGTCCTGGACAATATCCAGTGCTGCATGTAATATGAACTGGTGCTGGTGTGCAGCTTCTTCCTTCTAACACAATGTTAATGTGTTAAGAGTGTTATTAAACGAGAAACAGCTTTCTGGAAAGTTTATCTAGAGAGAGCGAAAGAAACACTAAAAATTGATGATATTGAAGATATTCTACAATCAACAAATAATTGACCACGAAATAATTATTATTATATATGTATTTTTTTCCAACTATTGGCATATGTGCATGCAAATGGTTTCAGAGTGAGATAGAAGAATCAAACATCACACTCCCCCTCAGCAATTCATAGGTTTACGAACTATTGTCATTCATAAGCATTTCTATCATGTATTAAGTTAGATGAAAATAAGCGTGACTACACGTTTTGACAAAAATGTTTGGAGAAGACTGGGAAATTGGAGTAAATATTGGTTACAATAGTAACACCACATGGAGGTATCATCAACCAGTGAGAGCTCTCAAATTGCAGTAGTGGAGACTACATGGTTGGGTAAAGGGGAGACAAGCCTGGTCTACCTAATCCTATTTAAGATTTTTTATTGGCTAGTGATGCCATGTAGGATGGTGTCACCGGTACACTCAATATTTTTTTTGAAAATTTGAAATTTCAAGGGTTAATTAACCATATATGTGGAACTAGTAACTGCAAGATAATTAAAATGTTTCCACTGCAAGTCAGTACTAAGAAAAAAAAAGTAAACTTTGTATCTCATAAAGCCCCTCTAACCCCAAACAGTTCTAAATTTTCAAAACTTTATTCTTACCACAGTATATATATGTTTCATAAATTAGTATGACCATGTTCCAATAAGGGCATGCAGGTACCGGCAGAGAGCTAATATTGAGCAGCCTGGGTGTGAGACACTGCTCTCTAAAATATAAAGACACTCAAGCATAATAGCAAAGTTCTTCGGAAATGGATGTTTATGGGAAACCACCCCAAGACTGGTTAGCCATCCACAAAGGTTTGTTTCTCCACAAGCAAGTTTCGACATTGGCAATCCAATGTGGCATATCCTTTGTCAAAGGTACAAATCGACTATCGGTGAGCATATTTAGAAGAGAGAAGCCAACAAACATATATAGATAGGATGAAGCATGCATCCCATAAAAGGAAGTCAACAAAGGTAAATTCTAGATTATTTCAAACTAGAAAAGCATTGATCACTTATGTTGTATTTGGTTAGGGGATTTGAAGAGAGATTTGGAAAGGGAAATGAAAAAGGTAATTGAAATGTGAATAAAATATACTTTCAATTCACCTAGTTTCACACACCTTTTCCCTTTCCCTTTCTCTTTCCAAATCTCTCCCCAAATCTCCCAACCAAACACAACGTTATTTATTGTAACACCATACAAGATGAATGAATGAAATGCCTAACAAAAAATTTCGCTTCAAGTTTTGTGTTTCCAACAAATTAAACTCCATAAATAATTAAACTCACAATCATATTGACTCATATAATGTAGAAATGATGAAGAAATCATACTTTGACTGCAGCACCAACTTCAGCTTCATATATAGGAATGTCATTCCTGCAAACAATCATACCAAACCTCAAACCCAAATCAAACCCTTCCTGCTAACAATCATGAAACAAGCTGTATTAGCCATATTAGTCTTCTTCAGGTATAGGCAAACTGATATTTTATACCTGCAACAGAAGAGGGGGAAAAAGGATAGAAAATCAATAAGCAGAAAACAAAGAGCAACGAGAGATCAACCAAGGCCCATGTTACTATCAACTAAATGCATAAATATTATCAAGACCATAGAACATTTTTATACTGTAACAGATGCCAAGAAAATGATGTAAACTAACATGCAAATTTTGAACTGAGATTACGGAATTCATTCATTTAATGACAGCATAAACGTGACATAATATGTACCTTTCGTTGGGTGCATATCTTCTATTCTACGGGACCCCATACAATTATTGATTTTAAATGTTTTTGGGTTGGGGTGTGGAGTCTAGAATCTACTAGGAATTCGTTATGAATATAGTTTTATTAACTATATGGTATTAGAATTTCTTTAGTTTGCCTATAAATGGGGAACTTGAGGGAATTCTAAGAGTGAGATTGAGAGTGTTTATAGAGATGCAAGGGAGATGGAAAAATACTAAGACACCGGGTATGAGTAGGGAAGCAAGTTTGTTTTAGGGCTCAGTTACCCTTGAGTGAGGAAATAGGAACTGTTTCATAACTTGAGCATTGGTGTTGGGTTTTTAAGTGTTTTTGGTCTTATATTTGTACTCTCTACATATTGAATATATCTCACATATAGGCGTTGACAAGTTTGCGTCGAACCATGTAAATATGTACCTTTTGTTGGGTGCATGTCTTGTGTTCAACAGGATAAACTAATTGATTTTTACACGTAATTGGGTAAGGGTGTGGAGTTTGGAATCTACTGAGAATTCATTATGTATAGAATTTTAATAGATGTAGGATTTCTTTGGTTCACCTATAAATAGGGAACTTGAGGGAATTCTAAATGTGGGATTGAGAGGGTTTGTTGAGATAATGGGGAGACCAAAAAAAAATTCCATGGCACTGGGAATAATCAGGGAAGTGGGTTTGTGTTAGGGCTTTGTTACCTTTGAGCGAGGAAACAAGGATTGTTTTAGGATTCAAATATTGGTGTCAGGTTTTTAAGTGTTTTCATCTTATGTTTGTACTCTTTACATGGTATAGTGAATTTTGCTCTCTCACCTATGGATGCACACAAGTTTATGCCAAACCATGGAAATATATACCTTTTGTTAGTTGTGTGTATTGTGTTATGTGAGACCCATACAATTATTGATTTTTACATGTACTTGGGTTGGGGTGTGGAGTTAGGAATCCACCAGGAATTCATTGGGGATGTTTGTTGCAGCTTCTATTTGCTGATTATAGCTTATTTTAATTTGGGAGTCTGGCCCTGTTTGGTATTAGCTTATTTCTAGCTTATTTCAGCTTTTAGCTATTTTGATGTGTTTGGTTCAGCTTAAAAATACAGCTTATAACTTTTTGTAAGTCAAAAATCAACTTATTTTTTAAGTGGGGGAGGAGAAGCTTAATTTATAAGTCAAAAATCAACTTATTTCACAGCTATAAGCTATAAGCTGTTAAATTATAAGTTATAATCACTTTCCCACAGCTCTACCAAACGGGGCCTCTATACCAAACTGTTTGGTGCAACTTCTGCTTATAACTTATTAGGCAAAAATAGCTTAAAAGTGTTTTAAGAAGTTGAGGAAGGGGTGCTTTTAACTTATAATTTCTAATTATCAATTTTTAGCTTAAAAAAAAGCTATAACAAACAAGGCCATTATGTGTAGGTTTTAATAGTTGTATGAGACTAAGATTTCTTTAATTTACCAATAAAAAGAGAACTTGAGGTAACTAGTACCAAACAGGGCCTCTATACCAAACTGTTTGGTGCAGCTTCTGCTTATAACTTATTAGGCAAAAATAGCTTAAAAGATTATTAAGAAGTTGAGGAAGGGGTGCTTTTAACTTATAATTTCTAATTATCAATTTTTAGCTTAAAAAAAAGCTATAACAAACAAGGCCATTATGTGTAGGTTTTAATAGTTGTATGAGACTAAGATTTCTTTAATTTACCAATAAAAAGAGAACTTGAGGTAACTAGGAGCAAGATTGAGAGGGTTTGCAAAAATGCATGAGACGAAAAAATAACAAAGATCCAGTAATGAGTAGGGAAGAGGGTTCAAGGTTCTAAATATCGGCCGGTACATGTCGTACCGGCCGGTTCGTAACAGAAAATGAGAGTGCCGAGTCGGATACTCACCAATATACCGGTGAGAACGAATTTCACGTCCGTAGCGGCCGATTCCCGACACGTATCGGCTTGTATCCGATACGTGAGCGTTCCAGTTCCGATATAGTCCGATTTGGCTGAAAAACGAGCAAAGCATATGGTAAAATAATTGAGGAAAGCAAGTCACATGGAAAAGAAAATCACCTGGAGAAGCATCGAATCGGACCAAACCTCAAACCCAAATCAAACCCAATCGGACCAAACTCAACTCAACTCCCCAATGTTTTCCCTCAATCGGACCAAACTCAACTCCCCAATCAAACCCAAATCCATCTCCCAGGGGCATCGATCTTGTAAAGTGCTGCAAGGAGAAGCATCAAATCGAACCCAAACCATCACCAATTTCAAGCTTCTTCATTGAAGGTTTTTCTCTCATGCTCTGTTTACATTTGTTTCGTGCTCTGTTTTTTGTTTTGGCTGAACACTTCTTCAAATGGTTTTGCTTCTGTTCGGTTTGTTTATATTATATTATGTCATATTATATTATTTTATGGTTTTGCTTCTGTCCGGTTTGCTTCTGTTCGGTTTGTTTATGTTATATTATGTTACTTTATTTCTTCTTCAAATGGTTTGTTTATATTATATTATGTTATTCTTTTCTTTTCTCTATGGTTATTTTTTTATTTATATTATGGTATGGGATGGTTTTGCTTGGTAAGTTGCGTTTGGTTTGTTTATAATTTATTTATTATTTTTTTTTTCTGGTTAGTTGTTTATAATGGTTTATAATTTGTTTGCTTGGTAAGTTGTGTTTGGTTATTTTTTTATTTATATTATGGTATGGGATGGTTTTTTTCTTGATTTTTTTAAATAACCAAACTATATATAATAAAATATTAATAATACAAATAAAAAAATTTAACAGCTTTTGTTTGCTTGATGGGGGGATGACTAGAGTCACCCTGATTATTGATTGAAAGTGCATTAAAATAGATCAAAAAAATAAATAAATAAAATAAATTAATTAATTAAGACTAAAATAAATACATATCATTTAGTTGAAAATGAGTCAAAAGAGCCTTTACATATCAAAATTTTGATTAAAATGTGATAAATTAAGGCTAAAAGAGTGAAAAAAATACATAAAATTGAGTTTTAGAAGGATTGCTAATGATTTTTGAAATTTCACAACCGCGACGCCCGATACCCGATACGTACCGGTCGATACTCCGCGATCGATACCGTTACGTTACCCAATACCGCGATTTAGAACTATGAGAGGGTTTGCTTTAAAGCTTAGTTACCCTTTAACCAGAAAACATAGATTGTTTCAGGACTCAGGTATTGGAGTGGGGTTTTTGAATTTTTCAGCCTCATATTTGTGCTCTCTACATATTATAGTGAATTTATCTCTCACTCATGAACATAAGCAAGTTGTGCAAACCACATAAGTCTTTGTATTTTTCTCTTTGGTGTAGGCATGAGTGTGCTTGCGTTCATGTTCATGGGATGTAATAATCTCAACAAGTAGCATCAAAGCCATGGTAGCCGATCTAAAGCCACGGGAAGATTCAAAGAACAAGAAACTTTTTTGATATCGTTCGAATAGATAAAAAAAAAAAGTTTGATTTGCATAGGAAAAAAAAAATTATGTAATTTAATTACATTGAAAAAATAAATAAAAAATTAAACATCCAATGAAGGGTCGGAGATTGAAAACAGTTTGCATGGAGGACTCAACTATAACGTGTAAACCAGGACAGTCGCTTGATGCAAGGGTTGTTGCACTGTTTCTTGCAACCTGTGTGCAAATAGTGAAGGACTTGTTTACAATTTTGCCTTTTGTGTTCAATGGAGAAGAAAAAGGTCACATCGACTTAAATTTGCCAAGGTTGCGATCCAATGTGACACAAGTACAAAATCAATGATTCAGAATTCTTTTACTATATTGATGTATATATAACAGAAGGATTAAAGAAGGAAGTGGTTCTTAGGATTTTCAAGCATTGCGCATTCGTCGATGGGTTTCGAATTTTCATATTCCGAATGGACAACACTGTACAAATTCAATGGAGATCAAGATTGATCAAGGGCGATCTAGTTTGACCATAGGTGATCACTATGGTCAAATCAAGAGTGATCAAGAGCAATCTAGTACAATCGACAAAAGTCCAGTTATCAATGGATACAACTTTGGTTTTAGTAATAGGTGGAGTCAATAAATTGGTGTTTTCTTGATTGGACAGATGATTGGAAACTTATACAAACTTATGTGAAGTATTGTATAGGTGGAACTACTTCAAACATCATACAAGTAATATAGGTAAATGACAACGAAGGTCAAGTGCATGGGTGAACACGATGAGTAGGCTGTTGCGGATGCATAGGAGTTTAGGGATACGCAAAAGGGATATTGGAGTACATGTGCGCAGGTGACTATTGTGCAAGATTATAGTGAGATTCAACAACAACAAATAGTTGTTGGATGTTCACAAGAAAACTTTAGAAGGTTCACAAAATGTGATGATGTGTATCTCTTTCGTTCTAGATTTGGTTACTTGGAATGATGTCACTGGTTGTTCACATGTAGAAGGAGAGGTGGAGCCACAACAATCGGCAAAGTCGTGAAATTCCCAAGGCATCTCGATGTGGAGGTGTGGATCATGTTGTTTGAGTGTGGCCAATTGGCAAGGAGAGCAAAAATCAACACTAGTTATCTTTGAGCGGTTTGCAAAATTCAAGCCAAAGTAGAGATTGTTAAGTGTGTGTTGTATTCTACAAACCCATACAATTATTGATTTTTACATATATTTGGGTTGAAGTGTGCAGTTCATAATCTACTAGTAATTCATTATGTGTAGGGTTTCAATAATTGTATGAGACAGACTTCTTTGATATGTCTATAAATAGGGAACTTGAGTAGGCACTATTTGGCATAAACTAAATAAGTAGACTTATTTAGATAAGTGCACTTATTTGGTCACATCACTTCTTACTTTTATGTATATCTTTTCATAAAAAGTCAAAAAGTATACATATTTAGATCATTCCAAAGGTGTGAGATTGAGAGGATTTGTATAGATAGATGTAGGGGAGACGAAAAAATACCGAGGACACTGTGTGCAAGTAGGGAAGCAGATTTGTTTTAGGGCTTGGTTACCAGGGGAAACATGGATTGTTTCAAAATTCAGGTTTTGATATCAGATTTTTGGGTGTTTTTGGTCACATATTTGTATTTTTTTACCTAGTATAGTAAATTTAAATGTCAAGAACATAAGCATATTTATGCCAAACCACGTAAATATGTATTAAGTTTTTACCTAGTATATTTTGATGGGTCCATGAGGGTGCTTTTTCATTCATGTTGGGCTGTGTTTGGTTCATGATTTGGTGAGGGATTTTGAAAGGGAATTTCACACACTTTTTTCCCTTTCCCTTTTCAAATCCATAATCCAAACACAGTCATAGTGATATGTATTAATCTCAACACCTTTGCAGAATGAAGCACAAATTGCTATCACTGAACAATATTTACTTTTGCATAATGTGCAGAAAACCACAGAATAATAACAACAATAATACAAAGTTGCTTATAATCAGAAAATCTTCCTTACCTTTGCACTGAAATGGAATTACTATCACGCCTTCCCTGAAAATGAAAAAACAAATATATAAACAAATCAAATCAAATTAGAAAGACTGCAAGAAATAGAATTTCAGGGTTGTTTATGGGAGTGAGGGAGTTGATCGGAGAAGGAAGAGAATAAATCGGAGAAGAGAGAGAGAGAGAGAGAGAGAGAGAGAGAGTTGGGAGGAACCTGTAATAGCTGTGTCGCAGATAGTCTCGGTTTGGTCGGGTATGGGAGCGGGGAGGTCATTGTGTGGTCTTTTGTCTATTTTGGGGGAGTGGGTCCACTTCCCCAAGTGAGATCCCCTCCAACAACCTCCTTGCAAGGCTAGGGATGAGCAGTGAATATATGGATTTGTCAAAATTGATTGAATTAAATTGATTTGTTATATTTTGAACGGATACATGATGGTGAGTGAATGATTGTGGATTGATTTTTTTTAATCTGTCAATCTGGTGGATGGATGGCGGATTTGAGATTCCTTTGGCCGCAATCGAATTGCGAAACCGCGAACACCCTAGTAATTTATAAGATTTTGTATTTTCAGTTTGTTTAAATATTCTGTTTGTGTTTTCAATTAAAAAAGAGTTTAACTTTTATGTTGAAAAAAATTTTCAACTTGAATATCTTTTTTAAATTGAAAAAAATAAACGTATTATTTATCTATATTTTTTGGTTTTTAAATCTATTTCTAAAAGTAATAAATAGAAAATATGATATATGCTAGTTGATTTTTGTTTTTAAAAACAGATATAGATGTAATAATACAGAGACATACAATCTCTACTACTGCTCTGTTCATGGTTTTTATGGTTTGAATTGTTTTTATATTTGAAGAACCACAAATTGTAATACTTTATGTAGATGACATGTTATGATTGTAGTATGTGGATGAGGCATGCAGTAATTGTGATATTCTAAAGTTTTAAACTTTCTTACTTTGGATGAAACATGCAGTGATTGTAATATTTTTTTAAGTCATTAACTGTAATACTTTCTCTTTTTTTTTTTCTTTTTTTTTTGTGAGGAAGTGCACAAGTTGAATTATGTTGAAAATTTATAAAATTTTAAACTGCCAAACCAATTCGCATCCATCCATCAAACCGTCAATCCGCTCAATCCACATCCGCCGGATTGGCGGACGGATGCGGATTGATTTTTCCAATCCGCCAATCTGGCGGATGAATGGCGGATTGGAGGTTCCATGGCCGCAACCGACCCGCGCCCACCCCTAGTTCAGATCACTCTGTATAGGGATCTTTTGGGAATAATGATAAAAAGTTAGCTTTTTGACTTTTTAACTTTTTTAATAAAAAAAAGTCAATTTTTTTTATCCAAAACAATCAAGTTTTTTGCCAAAAAAGTCACCAAAAAAATTAAAAAGCCAAAAAGTTAATTTTTTATCAATTTTCCAAAACACCACATAAAATTTAACGGTTCAGATCACTTTATTAAAAAAATAAATTTAATTTTTTATTTTTTAATAAAGTGATTTGAATCGTTAGATATTCCCTTGGGTGAATCTGGACCATTGCAAAGAAGGAGGATAGTAGAGAGTGGCTAGAGAGGATCTTAATTCCCACTTCCCAGGCTTTTAACCCATATCATTTTTTATTAAAAAAAAAAGGTCAAAAAATTAAAAAAAATCAAAAAATCATCTTTTAACTATCTTTTTAAAATAGTAAAGTCCCAAATATATGTTGAGATCGAAAAATATGAAAATATATGATTAATTGTGTTTGTTGTGAGACATCGTCTAAGATTAACTAATTACCTTGCTTGTTTTTCTAATTCATGATTTACTTTTTAAAAAATTAAAATTTTTTATTTTCCATGATTTTTTAATTTTTATATATATCTAACATAAATATACTTCAAAAATATAATATTTGTGAATTTTTTACAAAAGAAATATGAAAAATTAGTACATTTCTTGTATTTTTATATATTTATTGATTTTTTACTAATATTTTACTTTTTAGATATATAAAAATAAGGCACATCTAAAAAAATATAAAAAAAAATTATTTAAAATTTTAAAAATATTCACTAAAAATTAAAAAAATACAAAAAATAAAAAATTTAATTTCCAGAAAATTGAATAATTTATCCTCTAACTAAAACCGCTCCCTCGCGAGAGTGTTGCCATAGCCATCATACATCAAAACTCTTTTTCACTCTAATTATGAAGCAACTTCTCTTTCATCATTGCATCCTTCTTAGGGGGGCAAAGTATAGACTGATCTGATACAAATCCTCCGAAGCAAGACAAATATAAACTAGTTTAAACTTCTACTCATGGCTGTCCCTAGAGAATATGATGGTTTTAACTTTTAACATTTATAGTATAAGGTAGTTATGAGCAAAAGTTACAGCTTTATTAGTATAATCTTAATATAAAATAGAATTATAAGCCGATACAAATCATAGCATTGTAACTTTTTTCATCTAGTTGGAGCTGGGGTGGATATATAGATAAGCAGATTTTCCATTTACTTACGGAGATCAATCAGTCAGAGTTATTAAATCATATTGAATATATATTATATATACAAATAATATAAAATTTTAATTTTTTATTTTCACTCATAACTTGTAAAGACTACTATAACGGTATATCTCTTACATTATATAAATTATTTATTTTGATGGTATTAATGATTTTTTATTAAAAAAAATAAAAAAATTGTAAATAGAGTCATATTTTAATAATTTAATAATGTAGGTTAAAAAAAAAAAAACTAACTAACTAACTAACTAACTAAATTAAAATTCATTTACAGTTCGAGCAATTCAAGTTTAATTCGGGTCGGGTTTGGGCAAGCAATCTCGAATTACAATTCGGGCCTGGGCAGATCTCAGCACAACTTAGGCTAGACTTGAACAATCTCCCAATCCGACCGAACTCGCCCGAGTTGCACCCCTATGTGAGCACGTTCAATTATTTTTATTTTGGATAAATTATACACCAAGGTTACAAGTAGCTCTTTCACATTTCGAAAATAAAAAATAAAAAATAAAAATAAAGTTTAAATTTTTATTATAATTTCACGTTTGTGTTGGTCAACTATTAAGTCAACCAACAAAAAAAAATGAATATAAAAATTAATTTTTTTAAATGTCTATTTTACTCTTGTTAAAAGAAAACTTTTAAAAAAAACTATTAGACAAGCAAAGAAAATCAACAAAGAATTACATAAATTCATTCAATACATATATTATTATATTATTAAATATCAAGGTAATGTTATGGTACACAAACTTTTGTGATATTAATTGTCACAAATATTATAATTAGATCATTTTCAATCATAACTAAAAAAAAAGTTATAACCAAATATCGCATATGATATAATCAAATACATTTTCAGTCATAATCAAAATAATGTTATAATCAATAGTTAGGCCTCGTTTGCGAATAAATTTTTTTAATAACTTTTTAATTTTTTGGCTAAAATATGATGTATAAAATAACTAGTCAACTTGTTTGGTTTTGGTTTTTAGAAAATTATACTTTTTTATTTTCTGTATTTTAATGCTTTCAATGAATTTTTTAAATATTTTAAGCATTTTTTAAAATTTTTTTTTAAACATACCTAATATAAATATATTTAAAAAGTATAATATTTGTGAAAAAAATCTTTAAAAAATACCCTAAATACCAAAAAATATATAAAAAATACAAAAATTTAGTATATATTTTGTTGTATTTTTGTGTATTTATTAATATTTTGAAATATGTTTCCAAAAATATTACTATTTAAATACATCTAAGTAAGGTGCATGTTAAAAAATAAAAAAAAAAATTACAAATATTCACTAAATACAAACAAAATACCAAAAATAAAAAACACAATTTTCAAAAAACTCAATTTTCAAAACTGAAACCAAACACACTGAGTATGTTTGGGATGACTTTTTAGTTTTTTACGAAAAGATGTGCAAAAAGTAAAAAAAAAATTGAATCTTTGATTTTTTTATATAAGTTTTGGCTTTTTAATTTTTTTAGTGAATTTTTGGCTTTTACGCTAAAAAATGATACTGCCAAACGAGGCCTAAGTCATAACCAAATACCACGACTGGGGCATATAAAATTTTTCTAAACGATAAATTGTTTGTCAATTTTATTTATGCAAACAAGGGTAAAATAGACATTTTAAAAAATTAATTTCTTATATTAATTTTTTTCGTTAGTTGACTTAATGGTTGACTAACAAAAGGATTAAATTGTAATAGAAGTTTAAATATTAAGGAGGAAGATGTAATTTTCAAAATATGAGAAGGTATGAGGAGGATGTATTAAAGACACTCATCAAAATATGAGGAGGATGTATTAAAGACAAACCTCAAGGGGTGGCAGTATAATTTATCCTAAATTATAAATACACTCATCAAATTTACTTAAAATACAACTTGCTCCATATAGTTTTAAAAATTATATTTCACCCTTTGAAGTTTTCAATTTCAAAACAAATACTCCTTTTATTAATAAATTATCAAGTCAACTAACAGTTTTTAGTAATGTCAGAAATTTATTTTAATTAATATTTCAAGAAATTTTATTATTATGTAGGAGAGCATTTAGGAATTTCAATTATTTAGTTAATTATGTTAAATAAAAAATTCTGATAAATATATATTTATAATTCTTCAATTCACAAAGAGTAATTTATCCTTTAAACAAACTTATAAGAGTGTATTTATAATTAACCCTTTCATTTTTGGGCAATGAAGATGTTCTTCTTTTGGGCTTGAAGATGGGTTTTCGTTCTCGGGTTTGGCAGATCTGATCACTGGGGTTTTTGTTTCTTTGGTATTTTTTAAACTTTAATTAATAAAATTTTTATTTTCTGTTTTTTATTTAATGAATTTTTTTTTGCAGATTTATTCATGAATCTTTTATTTTTTTTAGTTATATATTTAGATTATGTATATCTAAAATTTTAAAAATATATAAATAGATTGAATAAAAAAAATTCAATGAAGATTTTTAAAAATAAGAAGAAAAAAAATAAGAACTCAAAAGCAATTTTAAGCATTTTCAGGTGAATCGTAGAATTTTATGATTCTATAATTTTAGTTGGAAAATGATTCAGATCGCATTATAATTCTAATTTTATGGTAAATACACTTTGCATCAAATTCTACTTTCGTTTTTCGTATGAAAATCGTGACAGTCAATCCTCTACACTTTTGGTCAAATCTCGCTTCGATCCCTACACATAAAATCGTGATAGTCAACCACCTGCACTTCCGGTCAAGTGTTAATTTGCCCATTATG